TTTTAAAAATTACAATCTCCTCATAGTCATTCACAAGTATAAAGTTATTATTTCCATCGTCTCCCAGACCACTGGGAGAAAATATAGGATAAAGACAAAGTTTCACAGGATGTCCCCACATCACTGATCACAGCCCATCTCCTGGGACTGCTACTAATCTTAGGAATAAACTATATTCACATTTAAAACCTTATACTCAAGTGGCTACAAAACCCCCATGCTCTACAAGCACAGCTTGATTCAGTACATGAAAGGGAAGGGGAAGGAAATATTTATTACACGCCAGGAAGAGTACCACTTTCTTTACATATGTTGTCAGCTAAGTATTAGCATTCTTTGTTAATGAAAAAAAAAAAGATGATGATGATGAGTAGGGAGGTTAAACAACTTACAGTACAAGAGACCTGGAAGACAGCCAGAATCCTAGCTCTGTTACTGTATGTGACAAGAGGTTTCTATTTCTAGGTTTACCACATTAGCTGAATGTGACTTTGACCACTTAACATCTCTGAACCTCAGTTTTCTCATCTGTAAAATGGGGTTTAAATGAGATAATTCACGTCAAGGGTTTAATTCAAAGTCCTAGTATACAGTAAGCTTACTCAGTAACTATTAGCAACGGTCAAAGTGAAACAGTTAGTTAAGAAAGTCAGAAATGATTCCCAAGTCCATGTTTTTTCTAATACAATATGCCATAACTGCCAACACACACTTATTATCCATGTAAGAATCCATACTTGAAATATGACATAGATGGAAAACGTGTTACCAAAATGAGATAACTATTAAGGGCTAACTAAACCAACAGAAGTATTTTAGCTCTAATATCTAATAAGCAGAACCAAGTAGAAAACTCATCAGACGGAACTGTTTAGACGTTCAGACTTATATAGCTTTGTTCTAACTACTACGAAACTATTTTTCTACCTGCGGTATTGGCCCCTCCCTCCTGCCCATTTCTCTGCCAACTGCTGGGCCTAAACTGCAGTTTAACGGCTTTTTCCACCCTTGCTTTTACTATTATCAGAAATAATAAGAGAACAGATGCTGGCAGCTCCACCATCAACTTTCTCCCAGAGGCCCCCTCATGCCTTGGCAGCTCGCACTCCAGCAATGGCTGTCCCTCCTGGTCCTCCCTGACCCTATTCAGCCCCAATGGCTCCTGATCTTCTTTTTCCATCACCTATCAGGGTCTTTTCAAGCCACACCAGCTCACTTGATAAGGGTACAGGGCTGGGACCAGGCCAATCCAACTCCTGGTGAAGCTGGGAACAGTGGGCTGACAGGGCCCCAAGGGGAAAGGAAGTGGCCCTGGTTCCACCCACGCCACCCCAGCATCCTGCCTCAACCGCCCTGCTCCCACAGCTGCTGCGTGATGAGTGCTATCACTTACTGTACTCTTTCCAGGGTCTGAGATGGTGCCAGGGGCCCTGGGGTCCCAGCTGGATGATGAGAAGGTGTGCTTGAGTACTACTATGAGGTGCAGAGGAGATGGAAGGGGAAGGTGGTTTCCTTTGTGGTTCCCAAACTTTAGGCTAGGACCCAGGTGCGATATTGAGATTTCTGTGTTAAAGAGAAACCACAGGCCCAAAATGGCGTCACTTGCGCTAAAGCCCACGATACCAAACCTAGATTCAATACCTGACCTAACTGCAGTTTTGAGCTTCCCAAGAAATGCAATCTTAATCAACCAGTCTGGAATTTTCTGGTCAGTACCAATGAGGTAATCTGGCACGTGGAGCCTCTCCATCTCACACAGAAGCAGAAATTTGCATGATAAAACCTTTGCATTCTCTTCCCCCCAAAGAGAAGATGTACTGGCCCGAGATAATCCTTTCTTTCCTTTTGCTAATAATTTCCTTGCCCCACTCTTCTTCCTATAAAAACCTTCCACTTTCTATTAACTCCTCCCAGTATTTCTCTATTTGCTGGATGGGATGCTGCCCGATTCATGAATTGCTTAACAAAACCAATTAGATCTTTAAATTTACTCAGTTGGATTTTGCTTTTTAACATAAGAAATATATACTTGGTCATTCAGACGACCAAAAGATATCTCTCATATATATTTGGTCTTCATTCAGTTCCCGGCTCACAGCTCCCAAAACCCTAGGAGTTTCCTAAGTGTCGACAGTGATAAAGGTATCTTTTGTTATGTGAATGAGGAAGCACCTAAGGACCGGGGCTGGTTGCCAGGAGAACCAACCATGTGATTAGAGGGTTGGAACTTTCAGTCCCACTGCCTGCCCCCCAACTCTGTGAAGGGAAGAGGGGTTGAATCAATCATGCCTCTGTAATGAAGCCTCCATAAAAACCCAAAAGGAGAGGGTTCGGAGAGCTTCGGGGTTGGTGAACTTGTGGCGCACCTGGAGAGAGCGAGCATGGAAGCTCCAAGCCCTTTCCCCATACCTTGCCCTACGCATCTCTTCCACCTGGCTGTTCCTGAGTTATAGCCTTTTATAATAAACAGGTGACCCAATAAGTAAAATGCTTCTCTGAGTTCTGTGCACTGCTCTAGCAAATTAACAGAAACTGAGAAGGGGGTCCTGGTCACTTCTGACCAGAAGTACAGGTAACAAACTGGACTTGTGACTGGTGCCTTAAGTCCAAAGAGGAGGTCATGGGAACTTCCAATTTGCAGCCAGTCAGTTAGAAGCACAGGTACCAGCCTGGGCTTTTGACTGGTGTTGGAAAGTCAGAGGGGCATGCGTAGGGGGTCCTGTAGGAATGAACGCTTAACCGGTGGTATCTGACAAACTCTCTGGGTAGATAGTTTCAGAACTGAGTTGAATTCTAGGACACCTTGCTGGTGTCCAAAAATTCCTTGTTGTACGTGTGGGAACCTCCCCCACCAGCCGGACGCTGAAACTGAGTCTCAGAACACTCAAAGACTACCTATGTACGAATTTATCCTATTTATCTCAAATCAGTTGTGAATTAAAATTTTAATGACCAGACGTACTCCAAATAAAGCTTCCTGGTTGGCCTGGACAAAGGCCTGGCCTCCTACTACATAATTTGAACTCTGCCTTAAAGTGAAGCCTCCATCAACTTGTTTTCAAAATAAACTGCTACTTAATATTTTTTTTTGTAACTGTACTCCTCATAAATTGAGGCAACCAAACAACATCATCACTTTTCCTACCCAATCCCTTGACCAAAAACAAGATTTGCTGTTCTACTGATGTTCAAAAATCTCACTTAACTGTCTCACCCTCACCAGATCTAACAGTGGAAAATGAAAAAAAAAAAAACAAGGATAGTAGCAAAAGTAAACTTCCATAACAACAATCAATAATCAGCTTACTATTTCAAACAACTTCCAGGAACTGATTTGCCTTTAAAAAGGGTTGCACAATGAGAATGGGATGCCCACATAAATTTATTTTGGCAACCATGGCCTATTCAGCAAATCGACAATCTTCCTAGGAAAAGAATGCCACATATATTCCAGCGAAACAAAGTTAACACACGAACTTTGGTAGAGAGGCTGAGTTCTGGCCAAAGGAAGAGGATTTTTAACTAGGTAACTGCCCTTCAAAAGACAATCAAAACAGAATATCTTCACTTTAGCAACAAAGCCTCTAGAAGACAGCGTTCATTTTGCAATAATCTTTAACGTTCCTGCATTTCTTAGATTTTTAAGAAATTCTAACTTCCTGACTCATGAATCTAAAATAGTCATTCCATCTACAAATGTTCTACTCATTTAGTTCAGAATCATGTGTAGGAAACACAGGTTTCTGTTTCTAGGTTTAAGACTTCATATTCATTCATTTTGCACTAATATAACCACTAAATATAGCTCCAAGACACTGACAATTAAAAGTAGTTAATTATGTGAGTGATTCATACCTCCTATGTCCAGATGTTTCTGTCAGATCTTTGGGAAGAAGAAACGATAAACACCTGTCACAAACGCTTTCCAAACTGGGAAGACCCGAACTGAGTTACTGTCAATCCCCAACCTGAGTCCCTCGCCATCCCTCCCCTCGAAAAAAAGAGGTCAGACATCCACCTAACTTTGCGAAGAGAAAAGGGAGGAGGAAAGGCCCTAAAAAACGTGGCCACGCAAGTACTGGAGGAGAGGGCCCTGGGTTTTTCTAGTCCTCACCACCAGATTCAGAGCGAGAACCCTTAGGCAAGTCAGAAGTCACTTTTCCTCTCTGGGCCTCACTTAAGTTTATCTAAAATGCGGTGACTGGCAAGGAGCTCTACGACTCCGCGTCTAAGGACGAACTCGAGATTCCCTCAGTCAGCATCCGCAGAAAGCCATCCAGCGCCCAGCCAATGCCCCCACCTTCGACCACACCATCTCCCGACTTCCTAAAAGGGCTGGACCACCACCCCACTCCCAAGCCCCAACACATACTCGCCCTCCACGCCAAGCAGCGTGTCCAAACCAGGCCTTCACACCCACAACGTGGATCCCTCCTAGCCTCACCTGTCCCAGACAGATACTCCGCGGTCCGCGCGCTCCCCTCCCCATCCCACCCCCCACACACCTTCCCCGAGAAGGGTTGCCCGATTCCGGCCCGAGGAGGCCGCCTATAAGCTCACCTGGTACCCGCCACCCCTGACACCACCATTCACCTCCTCCGACCTACCCCATCATCATCACCACCACCACCACCCGCTTCACGCCCCGCTCACCCTGCCTGCTGGCGCCCTGGGAAAGCTGGGGCCGCTCTTCGGCGGCCTCCTGGCCGGAGCAGCCGAGGGGCAGCGGAGGGCCGGGGCCGGGGCCCGCCGCTGTCGCTGCCGCCGCGCCTCGCGTCAGCCCAGCCCCATCGCCCTCGGCCGGCGCCGGCGGCCGCGGGTCGCTCGGGCTCGAGACGCCGCCGCCACCGCACGCTGCGGCTGGGGGTGAGGCGAGGGAGGCGCCGCGGCGGGGCCGGGCCGAGCCGGGCGCAGGGCCGTCCGCGCCCTCCTCCTCTGCGCCCGCAGCGGTGGCGTGCAGCCGGGGCGGGCGAGAACAAGGAGGGAGGCGGGGGGGAGGCGGCAGGGGAGGGGGGCGGGCTGCACTCCGAAACGGCCTCCCGCCGCCAGCGACGGAGCGAACCCCCCTCCCCTCGGCAGCGGCGCCGGGTTCACGCTGCGGGGAGAGCCGGCGGGCGGGCGGGCGAGCGGAGAGCGCGCGCGCGGCGAGCTCGGGACTCCCGCGCCGGATGTGAGGTCACGTGATGGCCTCATCCCAGCGCCGAGGGCGGAGGGGCGCAGAGGGGACGTCAGGAGGGGCGGGACCAGACGGAGGGGGCGGGGCGGGGCGCAGGCCCCGCCACCCCCTCGCCGTTAGCCCCCCAGGCGGGCGAAGACCAGAAAGGGTAAGGAGGGCGCCCCAAAAGAGCTGGGTGTTGGCGGGAAGAGGGTTGCTAATGGAGGATGCCTTTTTTGGCAGGAGGAGGTGGAATTCGCCACTCTGGCCGTGCAAAGACACGATCATAGTCCAAATCCCCATTTTACGAACGGGGAAACTGAGGCCCAGGGAGGGGTCTAGACTAGACTTGCGCAGAGTCTGATGGAGAGAAAGCCAGATACTGGCTCCCAATCCAGGTCTCTGGTTTCTTAACAGCACCCTCCCCACTCCGAAACAAACAACCAGAAAACTACGTGTAATTCGCCTTTGACAACCGGCTCGGCGCCCGGCCTCGGGGCGGAGGACTGGGAGGCGTCCCCAGGAGAAAGCTCCCACGCGCCCACTCCGCCGCCTCCGGCGGGAAGGAGTCTCTTGCGACAGTGTTGGATGCAAATTAAATACTTCCCTCCGCAGAAGCTTTATCTCGAGGCCGGGCCCCTGCCGGATATACAAATCACCAGTTTGGTTTTCGCGGCGTCCCTTCGGCGCGTTTAGGGACCTGCTGCTCCGGGCTCCGGCCATGTTTCGGCCCTGAGTCTACCTCGCCCGCGCCCTTGAGGCCCGGCCATCGCTGTTATTGTTATTCCACCTTGTCGCTAACAGAGCTCTGAGCTGCTTGAGCGTAAAGAAGGGAAGGGATGGCACGCGCGCGGCCCCTGGTCCAGCGCGCTTGGGGAGACCTCGCTGGAGGCAGGGAGCGTTCAGGTTCTGGTTCGTAGCACATGGCGAGCCTTCTCGGGGGCTGCCACCCCTGATCCGCGACGCATGGTGACACCTCATCTGAGGCAGCACACCGCCCCCCCCCCAAGTCCACGGCACCGATGTCACCTCGCCGGGAGGCAGGCACACGCTGCTCCTGGCCGTCCTGGGCTGTGCGGAGCTGGACAGTCGGCGCATTTCCTCACACCACGTGGCGTGGACGCGCTCTGGACCGAGATGGAACTACACCCCTCTTCCTATCCCTGGGCTACGTCTCACCGTTTGTTTGTTTGTTTCAAGTCTCGTGATCTTCAAATGATTAAATGAGATGAGGGGTGTGGAAGTGTTGGGCAAACTGTAAGAAGCTGTCTCTGCGGGGATGAAGTCTCCTCCACCTTTCCCAGCTGCTTGGCTCCTGGCTGTTTGCCCTCAGCCTTTAAACAAGCTCAAGTTCCTCAAGTCCTAAAAACAAAACTATCGAGCTAACCCTGCGCTCGAAGTGCCCACTCCAGCTAGCTTCCAAGTGCTTCTCTCCCTCTCATGGAGACCACTTCAACAGTGGTCCCCGTCAGCTGTCTCCACTTCCTCATTTCTCAACACTTGGCACTCTGGCTCGTCCTCCCCAAACACACAACCTTCCATTACCCTGCTCAGGCGACAGTAACCCATGACCTTCATTTTCCCAAATCTGTAGGCATTCCTCAGTTCTTAGCTCTCTGGCTCTCTCTGCTACATTTGACACCTCACATGACTGTCTCCCACCTTCTGGCATCTCAGTACTGCCTTGGCTTCCAAAAGAGTGCAGTCTCCCGATTCTCCCCTCTCAGTAAATAAAGCTGCTGCCTCTCTTGGTGGCATCCTTAAGTGCCACCAATTGTGAGTCTGCACCTTAAATGCGAGACTCCACTCTAAGCCCACAGCTCTTCTCCCCGCACTCTTGGGACATCACCTCCACCCATCATCATCACCATGGTTTCAACTGCCAAATCAGACATTTCCAGCCTATACCTCTTCCACAAAAGTTAGACCCAAATATCCAACTGCTTGCCAGGCAGCTCTGTCTAGATATCTCAGGGGCACCCCAAACTCAGCATGACCAAAACAACTCATCCTCTGCCTCCATAGCAGCCTCTCCCTCCCCTGTTGACACCACCATCTACAGGCATCAGAATCAGAAAGCTGGGAATGAGTGAGTCATTCTTGATTCAGCCCTTTGCCTTATGCCATCACTCGTCCTATTTATTTCACCTCCTTAGATCTCTACCTCAAATCTCTGCCTCCATTCCTCCTGGCGGGAGTTCCAGCCATCCTTTCCAACCTGAACCGTTGCAGCAGCCTCCTAAAGTCTCCTGCAGACAAACTCAGCCTCCATTCAGCCTCCAAAGCGAACTCTCTAAAATGCGCTTCTCTTTAAAATCGTGCAGAGGTTCCCCTGGCTTCTGGCCGCAGTGCGGACCTACAAGGTATCCAATACAAACCTCGCAGTGCCCTCAAGCTTTTAAAAGACCACAAAGAGCCCCAGACTTCAAGAAGCAGCCAAAATCCTCAAAGTAAGGCAACACACAGCCAGGCAAGGGAACACTATAGGAAGAAAAACAGTGATTGAAATATTTCTAAAAATTCCCTGCTACAGATGTTTTGGGTATGGAAAGAAGAGAATGTGGACACTGGGGGGAGGAGATGCTGAGTCACTGGGAAAGGCTTGAGCATGTTTATAGGCTGAGGAAAAAACAGAGCCAGGAAAGGAGGAGAAGCCCAAGACAGAGAGAAAGACAGTGAAGCGAGTCTTGAGAAGTCCTGGGAGGCTTGCTGATCTCCGCCCAGGATGATTCTGGGCCTGGGCCCAGCCCTTCCCTCCTTTGATCCTACTCCCTTTTTAAGACCCAAGCCATGATCACAACCCAAGACAGGTAACAGTCCTCCTAGTAAACTCTAATTTACCTTCCACGGACTATTTCACATCTCCTCCATCCTCAAAAGCCCCATCCTTGCTTGCCTTCCCCTCTCCAGGTCACCTTACCTCCTGTTTCACTGAGAAAATGCAGACCATCAAGAGGGAACACCCACGGATCTACACATTAACCCACATCAGCATCCGCTGTCTCTCCCTCACTCCAGTTTCTGCGAAGGGGCAATGCCCCCTCCCAAGAGACCTAACCCTTCACAGGTACAGTCCTGGCCTCCCAAAGGTCACCACTGTTGCCAACTCCAAGGGACACTTTTCACACCTTATTTTTCTAGCCTTCTCAGCGACATGCATTTCCCGTTCTTGAAACACTTTTCTTTTAGTTTGGATAATTCTCTTTTGGAATTCCTCCTTCCTCTTCATTTACTCCTTCTCAACCTACAGTGGGTGCTTCCTCTATCCTCCCTCTAAACGGTGCTCCTTCCCAGGGCTCAGTCCAGGGCCCATTTCTCTCTGTACACAAGTTTTATCATTTGTCCTTGAATTGTCTATCAACCTTACAAGAGTGGTGGATGGGGTTCAGGGGCTCTATAAACTCCTTAAACTGAATACCAATACTTTTAAAGGAAGAAGTCTAGCTTTCCTCAGCTTCTCAAAGCTGTCTGGGTCCCAAAAGAAGGGTAGGAGTGCTGACACACAGGCATTCCCCCAGTGACCTCATCCACCACGGCTGTAGCTAACGTCTGTAAGTACGTTAATGACTCTCAGCCGTATTACTCGAAGGCCAGCTCTCTCTTCAGAGTCCTGGCCATACCTCCCTATCACCATCACATGATGTCTCACTACTGCCTCGTAAATTCACTTATCCAAAACTCAACTCTTGCCCTTCCTCCCTAGACCAGCTGCTTTCCCAGGCTTCTCCACCTTAGCAAAAGACACTGTCGCCCACCCAGCTGCTCAAGCCAGAAACCTGAGAGTCATTCTTTCCAATACAATGCTAAGTCCATTTCCTACCCTCCCACATCTCTCCATCTCAGCTGCCACTAGAATAACCCAAGCCACCTCCATCTCTCACCTGGGACTACTTCCTTAGCCCCCACCTGATTTCCCCACTTTGACCCTTACCTCCTTCCGGTCCATTCTCACACAGCAGCCAGAGGGCACTAGTGTGTGTGTGACTTGGAGCACAGCTCTTGATGAAGGCTTTCAACTGCTTCCCATTTCACTGAGAATAAAATGTGAATTTCTTTGACCTACAGTGTCCAGTGTTGGATGTGGCCTGCCCGTTGCTCCCCCTTCACTGGCACTCCTCTACCCTCACCCTCCTCCCGCCGCAGATCTCCTTCCCTACCTTACCTCATTCCAACCACAGCAGGCCACTTTTCAGTTCCTCAAACACTCCAAGCTCTTTCCTGCCTCAAGGCCTTTGCAAAACCTGTTCTTTCTCTCTTCCCTTTTCCCTTGCCCCGCTCACTCTTAAAGTTCAGCTCTTGGCTTAAAAACAGATAGTTCTTGAAAAAGGCCTTCCCCAGCCACTCATTCCTTCCTTTATTTTCTGATGACCTCCATTATTTTCTTTATAACGATTATCGCAATTTTAATTACCTGTGAGTTTATGTATTTGACACCTGCCTCTCCCACCAGACTTCAACCTCTGTGAAGATGGGGACCAGTTGTAGCTCCAGAATTTTTCGAGAAGGGCCTTAAAAGTAGCAATCTCTTTGGAAGAAGAACTGAGGGTTTTTCTTAAGGTGTTTGCATGACACTTTTTAAGATTGTCCATTTTTGTAAGTGGGGGAAGGAATTATGGGGAAGGGGCACGTAAAGCATCCCCCCTGGCCTCCCCCCCAAGCTATTTTTTGGTGCTGCTACTGGCAGAGACTGAGTTGGTTTGCTTTATCACCGTATATCCAGCACTAGATGAAGCCTGGCATATGGTAGATGTTTAAATGTTTGTAGTCTGATGAATGAATGAATGAATGAATTTACAATCTCAAACATCATCTTCAAATGTCTTTCCTAACTCCCAGGCTAAGAATCCCTCTCCTGTGCATCTTTTTCACTGCATTTACAACCTTGAATAAGTATCTGCTTAGTATCTTTGTCTTCCGTCACTCTATGTTCTATTTATGTGTTTGTTTCTACAGTTCTAAATATTTTCATGTGTTATTTGATCATCACAACAATGCCAATACTAAAAGTAATAGTTACTATTATCTGTATTTTTTTATAGATGAGAAACTGAGGAAACTTTACATGTATGAGTTCATTTAATCTTTCAAACAATCCTAAGAAGTAAGTACTATTATCATCTCTATGTTTACAGATGAAACTGAGGAAAACGTAAAGTCCCATTTTACAGAATAGAAAAAGATGTTTAATAGCTCACTCAAGGTCGCAGAGCTGGTAAACAGCAGCACAGCCAGGATTCAACCCAGGCAACTTGGCTCCAGGGCCAAACTCTTCATCAGTATGACTGAACAAAGCCATAGTGACCCATCCTCTGGGATCCAAAGTCTTTGGATTATCTGTTTAAACACCCAGACTCTGACTGCCTCATGAGCAAGGACCTAACTAAGCCATCTCTGGATCCTCAGCTCCTGGCCGAGACCCAGCCCATGATGGTACTCAGTAATGTGTGCCGAGTAAGTGAGTAACAAATTATCATCAATTTTCACAACCACTAAGTCAGACTAGCAATGGAATGGTTAGGATTCCCATCTTACAGGAACGAAAAATGAGTTCCACAACTTCCCAAGAGGAGGTGATTCGTCTCACTGCCCCTTTGACTGACTTCAGCCCTCTTTTATGTTTTCTCTGCTGCTTCCATGAAAGGTTAGAGGACACGTGTTTACTTTAGGAAGACTTCACCTTAAGAGAGGCTAAAAAAAATGCCACAGTACTCCCTGTCTTTTCTGGAAAAAGTGGCCAGTGAAAGTATTTTGATTATAATGTTTGCTTAACGAGCTCTGTTTCCTTTAGCTCCTATGCCATTCTGTCCCTGTTTAGCTTGAACCACAGAGGCCTGTGTGTGTGTGTGTGTGTGTGTGTGTGTGTGTGTATTTTGGAACAGAACAGGGAGCAGAGCTGTGAGTCAGATGTCTAGAAATCAGAGTCCAGCGGCCACCACTGATTCATTTCTGTTGCTGAGCAAAATATGTAATCTTTTTTTTGCCTCTGCCACGAAACAACAGCCAGGGGCCCCACATTCTTCTCAGGCCATGGTGCCGTAGGATATGTTGGGTCACACGCTGCTGAGTGTTCAGGGCGTAGGGCCCCTGCTGGAGGAGTGCTAGAAATCGGTCCTACAAAAGGAGGGAACTCCTGATTTGTAGCACCTGCCAATTTCGTGATGTAAATACCCCACCACGGCTAATTTCAAGCTACCAACAGTTTAGGTGGCTCACAAAATTCTTAGCAGAAACGAAATAACTTAGCAGTCTGCTTTAAGGAGCCAACAGAAACCAGCTCCAGCACACTGCCACTTATAGTAACTCCTCATGTGGACAAGAACAGGAGAAATACAAGCAGCCTTTAGATGATGGTTTTAGGGGCAAGGCCTGCCTCATAGGATGTTACAGGGAATTTCCTTGTATTTACATATAATGATTTCACCTCTGATGAGAAAAGACTAATTGTATTGGAGATGGGAAAACTAGGTATAATTCTTAGCATTCTTAGAAGTAACATGTTTATTTCTTTGAATTTCAATTTTAATAGGAAGACTATTACCGACCTCACAGGATGGCGGATTATCTAATAAACACATACAGCACTTACTGTCTGCTAGGAACTGTTTAAATACTTTACAAATTTACATACTTAACCTTTATAACAAGACTGTAGAGTAAGTACTGTTATCAGTTTAGAGATGAAAAGACCAAAGCACAGAGAAGTTAACTAAGTTCTCTAAGGCCACACAGCTAGCAAGTAATAGAGCCAGGATTTGAACCTGGCTCCAGAGTCCATGCATGCTTTTAACCTCTAGGGCCCCAAGTCAAAGGCACCTGCCTGGTTTAATAAATAGAGTTTTATTGGAACACAGCCATGCTCGTTCATTTACATGTTGTCTGTGGCTGCTTTTGTGTTAGAGTGGCAGAGTTGAGTAGTTGTGGCAGAGACCATATGACCCAAAAAGCCCAAAATATTTACTATCTGGTTGTTTACAGAAAACATTGGCTGCTCCCTACTCTATGGTGTCCTGCCTATTTGTATAGGCTGACACAATAGTTATTATTAGGAGCCTGGTGGTCCCAAAGGTCAAGCTGGTTCTGAAATTGTGTTCTAGGCCAATAAGACAAGTGAAAAGTAATGTCAAGATTATAACCGTACCCTAGCATTTGTACTATAACAATTGTGTCAGTGAAATAGCATTAGGATGTAAACTTGAGTAACAAATAATCCATGAAAATGAGTATTAATAGAAATATGTGCTTTATGGGATCCTGATATCTCAGGGTTGAATTAATTCAGAGATTGTTCATCCCAACCCCAACTCTCCACTGGGGGTTGTTAGACTGGATTTCTGAAGTTGATGCTGTAAATCGCTCACCATCGGCCCTCAGGTCCTGCAGGATGAATCTCCTATACAGACATGGGCTTTTTGCTCTTTTATGGGGCTCAGGCAGCAGGCCCCCACCTCCATGCCTGTCATTCTGTCTCCGAGGCAGTTCCTCCATGTGGCTGTTTCAGATGCCAAGCAGAGAAGCTCCTCGAAGCCTGTTACCCACTGTCCTCCTGGATCGTCATTAAAAACTTCCCCTGACCTTTGCAGCTACTTCCTGTGAGCCTCTTAGGGACTGCTTGTGACCTATTTTCAGAGCTGACGGTTCTGGCTTCTAGAGCAAATGAGGAACAAGCCCAGCTACAGGTGGTCGACTGTTTCCTTTGGGCTCCTGGCACCAAGGAAGAATTGCTCACTGAAAGGATCGTAGGTCAGAAGGATGCCTGGTTGCCGCATCAGGGCCGTAGATTTTCATATAAACCGTGGGTCAGTATTCAGGATCGTCCGAAAGCTGTTACCTTCTGTTTGCTGAAGACAGTTTCTTCCTTATAGTAATAAAGAAAAAGAGCCCATTGAATCTTCTTGTTGGTTTTTTTTTCCTCAAAGCAAAGACGCCTCACCAGAATTGGTCAATTAAGGCAATACTGATTGAGCTCCTGAGTGGAAGTCCCATTGCCAAAGAATTTCTTTCATAAACGTTTCAAAAGTGAGTTGATCCAAAACGCACCTCCACCGTGAGGTTACCTGTAATCTAGTCTAGGAAGCAGAATCTAAGCACCCCGAGGTTCTGCAAATTTCATAAGAGCTGCAGGCACAAAATGAAAGAGAACAAGGCTTCAAGGTGGAGAACACCAGGAACGTTCTGGCTGTTTCCACCTTGTTCTTTGTCTCTACACTCCTGACATACACTGAAATAGCTCATAATTACCACGAAGACAACCAAAGGGAAACCTCTTGGGGCTTTACCAAAAATTTCCTTTATAATTTTTTAAGCTCATGTGATTTATTTAGGGTCCCTTTAAATAAATTTATGACCTTGGTTTCATTTTTAAGGTGTATGTAAATTTTAAAAAGACTCAGGACTCTAAAGATCTCAAATATTCCTTCAAGGGGTCCCTAATAGCTCCTTTGGGTTCTTGAAATACTTGATTTTATCTCTTTATTAGAAATTACGTTTTCCCACAAATAAAAATCACGCTCAGCTCCACCCTCCTCCATTCCAATTCAAATATGTGCAGACTGATTACAAGCTGCAAGAGAGAAGGTATAGTCGACTCACCTTTTTATCCCCCACAACATGTGGCCACAGTAGTAGGTGATCAGTAATTGTTACTATTGCTATGAAACCTCCATGAAAACAGGAACTTTCTCTATTTTGTTCATTCCTATAGCCCCAGTGACTAGAATAACCACCTGGTGGTAGCCACTCAATAAATAGTGAATAAACTAGCCTGTAGTCTTAATAAATGTAGGGAAGGAGGTTTAGAATTCTTAACATTTTTTTCAGTAAACTTGGCCCTCCTTGTAAGAGTCAGGGATTAATCAGAGAAGGAGAATCAGTAGGAGATATATATTGAGAGACTTATTGCCAGGAATTGGCCTACAGGCTGGATGGGGCTGGCGAAGCAAGGCTGGAATCTGCAGAGCCGGTCCTCCGGGAGGGCAGACTAGAACTCTTAGATGGAATTTCTGCTTCAGGGAAGCCTCAACTCTATATATAAGGCCTTTCAAACAATTGAATTAGGCCCACCCACATTATTGGGATAATCTCCCTTACTCGATTGTGGAATTTAAGCACATCTACAAAATACCTTCATAGCATAGCTCATCAAACCACGCTGAGGCAGCGTCCTACATGCCACAACTAGAAGGACCCACAAAGAAGAATATACAACTATGTACCGGGGGGGCTTTGGGGATAAAAAGGGAAAAAAAAATTTTTTTTTAAAATTCTAAAACACATTACAAAAAAAAAAAAAAAACCTGAAAACCAAAACCGGCGGAAGACATCACAAGAAAAGAAATCTACAGACCAATATCTCTTATGAATATAGACACAGATATCCTTAACAAACTACTAGCAAACCAAGTCCAGTAACATATGAAAAGGATTTTACACCGTGACCAAGTGGGATTTATCCCAGGAATGTAAAGGTTGGTTTTACATATCAAAATCATAAATACACCATGTAAATAGAATAAAGGGCAAAAACCACAGGATCATCTCAATAGATGCAGAAAAAGTATTGCAAAATTCAATACCCTTTCATGATAAAAACATTCATGCCAAAGTTTATAGCAGCCTTATTCATAATAACCAGTGAGTGGAAATAATCCAAATGTCTATCAACTTATGGGTGAATGAACAAAATGTAGTATATCCATACAAGGGAATATTATTTGGCAATAAAAAGAATGAAATATTGATACATGTTACAACATGGATGAACCTCAAAAAAACTATGCTAAGTGAAAGAAGCCAGACACAAAAGGCTACATCTTATATGATTCCATTTGTGTGAAATGTCCAGAATAGGCAAATCCGTGGAGACAGAAAGTAGACTAGTGTTTGCCAGGGGTGGGGATGGGAGGTGAGGGGGTGAAGAGAGGGTGACTGCTAATGTGTACAGGGTTTTCTTTTGGCGTCATAAAAATATTCTGAAATTAGATAGTGGTGATGGTTGTACAACTCTTGTGAATATGCTACAAACCACTGACTTTACACTTTAAAAGTGTGATTTTAATGGTATGTGAATAATATTTCAATAAAGTTGTCAATTTAAAAAATAGTATATTTACAGGGGCAGGCCGGTGGCACAGCAGTTAAGTTCACATGTTCCGCTTTGGTGTCCCGGGGTTGACCGGTTCGGATCCCAGGTGTGGACCTACGCACTGCTTGTCAAGCCATGCTGTGGCAGGCGTCCCACATATAAAGTAGAGGAAGATGGGCACGGATGTTAGCTCAGGGCCAGTCTTCCTCAGCAAAAAAGAGGAGGATTGGCAGTGAATGTTAGCTCAAGGCTAATCTTCCTCAAAAAAAAAAAAAAAAGGTATATTTGCAAAGGGTTTTAAATAACATAGTAAGGATTCCAGGCCATGGTTCAGCTGTACCTTTACTTAAATCTTATATTCTTTCAGCTACTGTAATTCAATTCTCCCATCACATCAGACCATCAGAAGGTTCCAAATGAAATATTAATATTTATATTATGTGAAATATCATATTACTCTAGTGCCTCACGGAATCACCCTAACAGAGTTTCAACTAAATATATCTTTCCTATAATTTTTATCTAAGCTGCTATAATAGCCATATGGATCTTCCTTCTGCATCCTTTGCACTCATACTGAGAATACTGCACATCCCATCCTCACATCACTCACGTTCCCTGGATTATAAAATACTTTACGAAAATTTTATGTTTCATTTATTTTAGGAAAAGCAATGTCCCTTAGGAATTATCCTTTCTGATAATCAAAACTATGCAACTGATTGTAATTTCTTCTTCGCCTTGGAGGAAGCTCAGTTGTACGTTGATTGAAATGATTAACGTATCTGTATATCCATTTTTTTCTTTCTGTTTTTCTTCCTCTATTCATCATTTGCTGTTTTATGGCATGGGATTTTGGTGTCACCTCAAATCCCAACATTTAGTTGAAGGATTGGTTCAGGATTTTGGACTAAGGTTCAATGTTTAATTGTGCTTCACATCAAATCAAGGTTTCTCTACACCAGCACTGTTGACATTTTGAGCTGGATAATTCTTTGGGGTGGGGGAGGCCTGTCCTGTGCCTTGTAGGGTATCTAGCAGCATCTTCGCCTCCACCTGCTAGAAGCGAGCAGCAGCTTCCCAGTTTAACAACATAAAATGTATTCCGCTATTGCCAAATGTCCCACGGAGGACAAATTGCCCCTGATTGAGAGCCACTGCATTAAGCATCATTGAAAAACAGACTCTCACCACTCTTTCCAGTAAGTCTTGAGAAGTATCAGAAATTCATCACTCTAGATAGATAGGTAGGTAGATAGATAGATATATAAATAGATAGATAAACAGATAGATTCATACTTTGCTCACTCACTTGGGAGGAATCAAGGACATGTCGGCATTTGGTGTCTGTCCCTGGGGCAGAGCTGCTTCCCTGTAGATCTTCTCATTTTACAGGGAAAGAATTTTCTGATTATTTCATTTAAGCCCAGCAATCCATTGAAAGGAAATTATTCTTATTCCAATTTTTAGATGAGGAAACTGAGGGTCATGGAGTGAAAATGATCAACTTCAGGGCTAAACTCCAAATTCAGTGCTGCTCCTCTCACTGCTAGGGAAAGCTTGCCTCTCTCTCTTCTCTGTCTGTATGTAACCACGTCCTCCTCCCTAGGTCGTTAAACGTTAGGGATGGAGTCCTATAAGGCTAAGGTCTTCTAAAGTGTCAACCTCCTAAAATGGCACTTAATCCTGTCAATGCCTGGAAAATGGATTCTCTCTTCCCAGATTACATCATACTTTAACCTAGTTAAAACTCACAAATTTCCATTAGCTCTAACTTCCTGTTTACAGGAAATGCAGGGGATAGAGGAATGAGTTAGACACCAGTAGGGAACAACCAATCAAATCCAGAAGTGGGAACATTCTATGAGACAACTAGTCTGAACTCTTCCAAAAAGTCAATATCTTGAAAATAATCAAAAAACAAAGCCACGGAGGTGTTATTTTAGAATAAAATAGACGAACAAAACATAACAATCAAATGCAATGTGTAAACCTTGATTGGAATCGTGGTAACATGTAAAAGTCATTCTTAGAATGAAGGGAATTTTGAATTTGGACTAGATATAAGACTGTGGAATCCATTTTAGTTTTCTTAGATGTGATAATGGTGTGGTATAAAAGGATTGTTCTTATTCTTAAGAGGTATTTGCAGAAAGCATTTTGAGATAAAGTCCCATGATATTTGCAACTTTCAAATGGGTCAACAACAACAAAACAGCAAAGATGGATAGATAGATAAAATAAATATAGTAACATATTAACATTTAAAAAATTTAAATGGAAGATATACAGGAGTTTGCTGTGCAATTCTTTCAATTTCCCTGAATGTATGAAATATCTTTATAATAGAAAGCTGAGGGGACAATAACAAGCCTTCTTAATGCACTGAGTGTTGAGTAACCCACAGATCACTTTGGGTGAGGGGTCTATGGTTAGGCTTCAATGACCCATGAACCCCCTACAGCCCTGAGCAACACCCAGAGTGTGGATGTAGCTCTGCCTTTCCCTGGGGAGAGGTTCTGTAACTCTTGTCCAATTTTTTCAAAGGAGACCCATGACTCCAGAAAGGCTGTAACCTTGAGGCTCGTCTGGGGATTTTAGGTCTGGTGGCTGCAGAAGCATGAGATTTTTGAACTTCGAGACATTTCCCTGCTGCTCAAATCCCATGCTGGAGACAGCTGCCTAAAGTCATAGGATCTTAGAACTGAAAGGAGCCTTAGGAATGATTTAATTCAACCGTGGAGACGGAAGCTCTGAAATAGGCCTTGTCCAACATCAGGCAATTAATTAACTTAGTGGTAGAGAG